CTTTCCCTTCCCCTTACCCCCATCTGGCTAAGCACCTAATCCTAAAAAATCATTTTTACATGCAAGAGAGAAACAACTTCAACCCTAAAACTGTACAGCAGAATAATGTATAAAACAGCAAGTTCACGAGCAAGGCACTTGCAATGACACTGTATTTCGAAGGCTTGTGAGGCTAAATCCGAGGTATTCCAACTGTAGATTATAGAGCAGTTTAGATGGTCTGCAGCTCACTACAAACTACTCTATTACAGCACAGCTGTAATTAAAGCTCTGTCGTTCTTTCCACTATAAACTCTACTTTTCATGAGTTTGTAATTTGGATCGTAAAAAACTGTTCTGATTGAAAGCTTGGCATACCAGAGCCCGTGCATAAGAACATTTTCTTTTTCCAAGACAGTCAGCTCCTTAAGGTTTTATGGATAACAAAAAAGTTTAACTTATTTTGGGTTAAGCTGGCAAAGAAGAAATAAGCCACGTCACTTAAGTTCCTTCGTAGTTTGAGGAGGGAAGTTTTATCTGGCCAAGTTTAACCCACAGAGAGTCCAAAGCCACTTCACAATTCAAAAACTGAAAAACAACATACAGCCCAAAGCAGAGGCTTACTACAATTTACACAGACTTAACTGTAATCTAGACCTGGACTCAACCAAATTGAAAATATCCCCAAACCTACCAAAGAGAAGGCAGCTTGTGTCCTCTCTATTAAACCCAACCACCAACCCTGTTCCCATGACTCCTTGCCCATTCCTCCCCCCCAAGCTGAACAGAAGCCTTATTCCTGACTACACAAGCTTTCAAAATATCTTACTCTCTCCGTTTTTTCTTTCAATGACTTTCCTTTGAGGTCATAGCGTGTTTTAGAGTAGTAGTTGCTGTCATTTTCTGTGGACTTTTCCACTCCATTTCTAGTTGTTGCCCACCTATCAGCTATGTGACTACCAGCTGTAGGCAGGAAGATACCCTTGCATCAAGTGCTGCCCAAGAAACTGCCACCATTACCTTTATCAAGATAGGTGACATATTTTACCACAGTGATAGGGAGTAATATCATAAGTCTCAAATTGATGTAGTGAAAATAGTTTGTTAAGATTTGTTGTTTAAAAGTTAGGTAACTAACAGGTGTTGTGGTTGTAGGTATGTAGATAAATTGTCTATCTTGGAAGTATTGTTAGGCTCCAGTGAGCAGTAACCACGGAAACAGAACAACCTTATAAGGAAGGAAAGGAACAGTGAAGATTCTTTGGTTCGAATGATGTAGATGGGTTAGGAATGCTTCATGAATAGATAGGCCGGATATTCAATAGATAAAAGAGCCTTGAAACTTTGTACTTTACGTTAATTAGATAGAGAAGTTAATTTGTAGGGTTAAGCTAGCTTGTTACAAGTGAAAAACAT